ATGGAGTGGATGACACAGATTGTCATCAACATAAACGACAGACATGACCTAACATGGGAAGGACTACACAGGCAAGCATGATTATAAATCACTGTCACTTATCAGCCTGAATCCAAACGTCAGGAATGCCACCTCAGAGAAAAGAAAATGGTGTTTTTCTTATAATTGGAGTTATGCTCATAGGGAACTTGCTGGGGGAGAGAGAGACAGAAAGGCGGGGGCAGGAGAAGGAGGGGCAGAGGGTACTCTGGGGGGGCAGAAAGCCCTAGAATGGAAGCATTAGTATCTAGGGTAATCAGAGTAATTTATAATCTTTCTACAAATTTCTCAAACTCTGACACTAGATCAAAATAAAAGGTAAAAAAATTACATATACATATACTCATATTATTATTAACAATACTTACATTATTTAAATGTTGGCCCATCAATAAGGACTCAAGTAAATGAGGTTTACATCTATGAATTTTTTAAATTCATTATTATTTTTGATCGCCAGTACTCCATCCAGGCCACCACGTGGAATGCTCGACACAAGTGAAGGCTATTTTGCCCTCAAGGGGGAACATACTCTAGCTGCGGAGACTTTGTTCATTGTAAAGCAGCAGGAAAGCCGCCCATCCATTAGTGGGAGGAGAGCTGGTAAAGGATGCTGAGCGCCCTGCGATGCCCCTCAGGACATCAGCCCACACAAAAGAACTCTGCCCCTCCAAATCTCCTGTCCGGCTTTGAGGTTAAGAAACCCTAGTCTATGACCCAGGAACGGGGTCAAAAAGCTGCAGTGGGAGAATCAAGGTCCCTCGAAATTCTGGTGGCAAAGGAAGGGAGGCCCAAAGGATCCACTTCCCCTGGCAACACCAGCCTGACAGAAGGGAGGACCTAGAGAGCAATCTCAGCTGGCGCAGCCCCTACAGGCATCAAGCTGCTCATCCAGCAATGAGAAGAAAAGAGAGATTGGGGCCAGGAAAACAGTCTACTAAGTGGCAGGCGCTTGGGCCAGGTCTGTCCTTCCAGGATACAGGTAGGGAGTCGTGGGACCTCTCTCAGGCAGCCCCAGACAGCCATGGCCTCCCCTGCAGCTCTGAGCACATTGGTTCCAGAGCCGGCACCCGGAGCCCTCCAGCACCATGGGGTAATTCCTTCCTAGAGCTGCTGCGGGCAAAGCTAGGCCAGGGAATGAAAATAATTTTTTTAAAAGGTATCCACCTTGACTGGAAGAAGTATGTGCCAGGAAAGTTGCACCAAGTCCACTGCCAACCTGTAATGGCTTGACTAGACCCTCCCTGCATTTAACACCCCCATAGGGGTGGCCAAAAGTCAAATATATAATAAGCACCTGATGACTGCCACAGATATGGATATGAGTGATGCCAGTCACCACAGAGGCAGCCCCCTTCCCACTGTTCACCCACCCTTCCAAGCCTGCCAGAGACCCTCACCCAAAACGAATCGTCAAAATGTGCAAGCAGATGTTTTGATCTTTGGAGCCTTTAAAATAATGATCATCAACAGACAGATTTACCAGGAGAAAAGAGGATATCTTCCCTGGAAATCTCCTTGGCGTTTACCGCAAGGCATCTCAGACAGTTCTTTCCATATAGAAAAAAAACCCAGGTAATGGATGTGCTGCAGCGTTTTATCCTGTGTTTGATTTTTTAAAACTTACTTATTGATGATGATGACCCACTTGTGTTTGTTTGTTTGTTTGTTTGTTTGTTTTTTGCTATGTGTACTAGTCAAGATTCTTCAAAATTTGAAGTGACACCACGAAGATAAGCCTGTAGGAAATTTGTGTGTTTATTTATAAATTTAGGTATCTCTTATGGGAATTGGCTCACACAATTTTGGAATGAAGTCCCATGATCATCTGCTGCAGGGTAGAGAAGCAGGAAAGCCAGTCGTATCATTCAGTGTGAGTCTAAAGGCCTCAGAAAAAAGGTGGGGTGCAAGGCGACGGTGTTAGACCCTGATCAAGTCTGAAGGCCAGAGAACCAGGAGTGTGGATGTCCCAGGATAGGTGGAGATGGAAGTCCCAGTCAGAGAGATCAAATGCACCCTTCCTCTGTCTTTTTCTTCTCTCTGGACCTGGACAGTTTGTTGGAAGCCCCTTTCATTGCCAAAAGAAATCTTGGGTCAATCTTCTGATTCAAAGGCGAATCTCTTCTGAAAACACCCTCACAAATACAATAATTTTACCAGCCATGTGAGCATCCCTTACCTTAGTCAAGTTGATGCAGAAAATTAACCATCATATTATGCCACAGAAACCAAGAACAAAATCACAAGTAACTACATTGTACCTATGGGAGAAAAAGCCTTGACTGCCACGAAATCATTCTTTGAGCTTTCTGCAGGAGTTGACTAAGCCACAGGTAGAGAATGGGTAAACAGAGAGTTCTATACAGGAGATTCATGAACAAGTATATTCATAGACTGTGATTCATTGGCAGAAACATGCACAACCTGTAAACAAAAGGTAAAGGTAGAAAACTGAAAGGTATTCTTTTTTTTTTTTTGAGTTGGAATCTCACTCTGTCTCAGTGCAATGTGCAATGGCACGATCTTGGCTCAGTGCAACCTCTACCTCCCAGGTTCAAGCGATTCCTGTGCCTCAGCCTCCTGAATAGCTGGGACTACAGGTGCCCACCACCACGCCTGGCTAATTTTTGTATTTTTAGTAGAGACAGAGTTTCATCACATTGGCTAGGCTGGTCTCAAACTCCTGACCTCAAGTTTCATCACATTGGCTAGGCTGGTCTCAAACTCCTGACCCGCCTAGGCCTCCCGAAGTGCTGGGATTACAGGCAAGAGCCACCATGCCCAGCCAGAAAATGTGAAGGTGTTCTTATTTAAAAAAAAAAAAAAAATCA